TGGCGTAACTTGAGTCGGTAGAATCGAGATATGTAAAAACATTGGTATGTTATTTCAGAAAAAGTCCGATTTTATGTCAAAATATCTATGTTAGAATAATGCTATACATAAATATAATGTACAGTGGTGGCCAAAATTGTGAACACTTTTGGAAATTTTTATGTTTTTGAACTTTGTATGCTTATAGAAACCGCTACGTTTCACAAAATGCAAACTTGTATATATCATTTTAAAGAGAATTTATTACTGAATTCAATAAAAAAATATTCAATTATTTGCAATACAAAAAAAAAGTTAAACGATAATAGTTATCGATATACATTACGTAGTGATGATTGCAGTGAGTTATAAGTACTTAGTAGGGTACCCTTTATTTTTGATTACAGCTTCACATCGACGTTTCATTGAGCTGACAAGAGTTTTTATTGAGGCAATTATAGCCTCAATTAGTTCCCTTTTATTTGATGGGCGCCTCATTCTGACAAGAGTTTTCAAGCGGTGCCACAAATTTTCGATAGGATTGAGGTCAGGACTGTTTCCTGGCCATGACAACAATTTAATGCTCTTTGTACAAAACCACTCTTTCGATATTTTGGCCGTGTAGCAAGGAGCAGAATCCTGCTGAAAAATAAACGAAGCATTGTTGGGAAAGAGATCTCTGATGGAAGGTAGAAGTTTTGGTTCTAGAATAGTGTCAATGTATTTTCTGGCAATCAGTGTCCCATCGATGACATGAAGGCGACCAATACCATCTGCTGACATGCATGAGCAAATCATAACACTAACTGGGTTTTTCACAGTTGCTTGAATGCAGTCAGGATGTAGCTCTTCTCCTATTCTACGTCTTACATATTTTCGCCATCACTACCGAAAAAACGATATCTTAGTTTCATCACTCCATATAACTTGTGACCACTGATCATCTGTCCAATTAATGTGTTCCTTTGCCCACTGTAGTCTTTTTTTTCGTTGCTGAAAATTAAGATAAGGCTTTTTTCGTGGAATTCTACCTCTCAGTCCAACATCTGTTAATCTTCTCCTGATTGTTCTTGAACTGACAGAAACACCAGCATCATTCACATCACTTCTGATAGCCGCTGATGACATTTTTCTATCTTGGAGACATAGTCTTTTTATTCTTCTGTCATCAATAGATGCGATTCACCTTTTTCGGCCTTTTCCTTCTTTCTTTTTTATTGAATTTGTCTCCTGATATCGTAAACAAAACTTTCGGACTCCAGATGTAGTCACTGAACCACCCACCTGTCTTGCAATGTCAGCATAGGAAAGACCACTTTCTCGTAACACAATAATATTACATCTTTTTCTAGGTGTCCAATCTAATCTTTTATTTGATGTCATTGCTTCTTGACTAAATATTAACAATTTTTACAAAAATTCCTACATTTAATTGCAGTGTATAAGAAACAGGTCATTCTTACTACAGAACAAAGCAAAATAATGAATTGTTTCAAGTGTAAACATGATGTCAGCTTCTACTGGCAGTTACTAACATTTGATTGGTTCTCAGAACAAGAACAGTGATTGGCCAGGAAAGTTAGACATTACAAACCACTTCATAACTGTGTTTTTTATTTATATTAAAGTACATATAACTTTTTTTTGTATTGCAAATAATCGAATTTTGTGTTTTGTATTGAATTCAGTAATAAATTCTCTTTAAAATGATATATACAAGTTTGCATGTTGCGAAACGTAACATTTTCTATAAGCATACAAATTTCAAGAACATAAAAATTTCCAAAAGTGTCCGCAATTTTGGCCACCACTGTATATTCCAAGTCGCATTTTCGAGACATGAAAAATCGGAATTGTACAACGGGAGATATAGAACTGTCCCCCCCTTTTTTTAGCTTTTTTAAATTTATTTAGTACAAAGAGAGAGAGGGAAAATATTATTTATTATTTTATTTCAAATCTTTTCTAATATTACGTAGAAAACTAAAAATATTGTTGTAACTTATCATTTTTGTGAGACAGTGTACTTGCAACAAATATATAATTGAAATGTCTTCACGAGTTGTATAAAATTAATTCAGAGGCCGCCAGTTTTAGACCAACTCCAATTCAGAGCTTCTTGAACAGATGCTATATTTTTGCTGTGTAATAACTTTTGATAACCAGTAAAATTCTCACCTATTGTTTACGTATCAGTTATTGTGATCTTTACATTCGTGTTAACAGTATTGCAATAAACAACAAAGAGAAAAAACGCAAATAAGTAAAGTATTTATAACTATTCAATTCAAAAATTAAAACCCTAACACTGAGTTTGAGTTTTATTTTTTCTAACACTCGTAAATTTATGCGATCAGACCTTTGTTCAAGAGCAGTGGTGGTAGTAGTACTTTGTAGTGATGGTACTAAAGGTTTTCAGTTTTTGTTTACATGGTACGCGTTAGTCAAAAGGTTGAGAACAGCAGCTGTTTTAGATGATATATGTTGTCGAATACGGAACACACTTAATTTCTTATGATTACAACTTTAAGGAAAGGCTAATTTTTTGCAGATTTAGAATAATGAGCAGAATGTATACTACAAGAAGGAAACTGTAGAATACGTGCTGATGCTACCATTATTGAAATACCACTGCTGCAAGTTAATAGAGGAGGATTGTTATGCGTTTGTGTCTTCAAAGCTTCAAAGCTTTTTTTTTTTTTTTTTTTAAAGGTAAAGTCAGCTAAATATTTTATTTCTCTCTCTCTCTCTTTGTACTTCCTCATAGGAATTCCTCATTGTAATTACGAAAAATTCCGGGTATCATATTTCAACGGAAATATCCATTTTCACCGCTATCGAATGCCATTCAACGATGTTTTTACGTGAAATCTGTACGTAAGTGCACATTAAAGGACTCTTTTTTCCCAAACGGGAATTATGAAAACTATTTAAAATAGATTCAGAAGAAGTTTTGTTTCGTAGCGTCTGTATTTGGCATAGTTCAAAAACGAGTAGCTTTAGAACGTTGAAATGTTGTATATAGGACTGTTATAATAGAGTTGTGTACCTCCTATTTTAGTTGCAATCCGTCGCACCAAAAGTGTAAGAAAGGTAAAGAAAGAATATGTAAAAGATTAAACTACCAGCTTAAATTAATTTCCCTTCTCTATTCTAAAAATAGCAACATCTATTTGTACTGCGTCATTTCCAGAAAATTCTATGTCACACAACTCTTGCATAATTCTGGTGATGTAAATTGAGCTAAAACTCAAGCAGCCAATAATAATTTTACAGCAATATTAACTATCCGATCAAAATGCTTTGAGAACTACAACTAACTCAGTTTGAACTTAAAATTTCATCCTGAACGTTCCACGCACTTGCTTTCCACGCTTTGGCCTAGCTGACAATGCTGTCTGTCTGCTGCTGCTTTCTTGCTATAAAGTTATAAAAAATGTAAGCCTTTTGGAACAGGCCCATTTAATGTGCCGACTTGTGTGTAGCCGCAACATGTTGCTGAACATAAAACTGAACATTTAATCTGCTTTCGCTTCCAATTTCCTAGTCATTGCTTTATTTGGATCTATTACAACGAGTCTACGCCATCAAAATTCCTACTCCTGAATATATTACATATATATAGATTATAATTATTATATTATAGACTATAGAGGAATTGCCTTGCTTTTATTATAATTTACTAATTAATTTAGATGCTTTAAGTTTGTATATATATATATATCTGTTGTTTTAATTGTGAATTTTTGTGCTTTAAAAATGATTGAATTATGTTATTCTTACCCTCCTTTTAATGTTTTCATGCCGTTAGTTAATCCGCATGCAATAGTAGAATGTAAGTGCGGCTAAGGCAAATTTTGTTTGACCATAGCAGCCGTATTTGTTTACATTTGAAACTTAGCAGAATAGTGAATTAAGTCTTTCTGCACCTTCAGTGTCTTTTTGCCGAGTGGAACCACAAGGAAACTTGAATTCGGGGACCGAAAAGTCTGCCTTTTTGCCCGTTGTCGAATTGCTTGTTTTTACGTAGAAAATGTAATTTTAATCATAATAATTGTTTTTAATTGTTTTAACTGCATTTGATGTTTTATGCTTTTTTATACCTTTCAATTTTTAATGAAGATATTTTGAGTTTTTATGTATTTTTGCCTTGCCGCGAAGTGAAAACTGAATTCATTGAACGAGAAATATATCTCTAATGAAGTTCGAGGGAATAAATTTAAATGAAATGCAGGAAAAATTGCTTATAATTAAGTATTCCGTACACGGAAGTCATGTGGTGTACACACCAGACTTTTTTTCTTTTGAAAAATCTTTTTTTGTAGCAGTGTAAAGCAATTGAAAATGCATTTAGTGTTGATATCATTTTTCCTATTTCAATCCATCTGCTTGATGTATAATTCAGGAATAAAAGAAAAGCTTTATAGAATTATAAGATTCTCATAGTAGAAATGTAAATGCTGATCTAATCGGAAGTGACTTCTACCATAGTATTGATATTCTTTATTACACATGACTTTTTTTCTCAAAATTATTAATGAAAACAAATGAGTTTTGTTGCTTCAGGAATACCAGATTTGCTTATTAGATCAAATTTTCATTGAAGGAATGTAAATCTTGGGGCAGAAATGTACACATGACTTTTTCTTAAAATTATTGATGAAAATGAATAATTTTTTGTTACTTTATAAATATCAGAAATGCATTCTAAACCAAATTCTCTTTTGCAAGAAGGAAAATGTTGTGACAGAAAATGTAAACAAGAATTTTTCTTAATTGATGAAAATGAATTATTGATGAAAACGAATAATTTTTGTTACTTCATGAATATCAGAAATGCTTTTTAGACCAAATTCTCATTGCAAGAAGGCAAATGTTGTGACCGAAAATCTACACATGACTTTTTCTTAAAATTGTCAAATGAAAATGAATAATTTTTGTTACTTCGTGAATACCAATGCTCATTGCAGGAATGCAAATGTTGTCACAGAAAATATTGTCAAAAGAAAAAAGCTGTCAAATTGATCTTTTTTAAATATTTATTAAAGGACAAACACAAATGCTTTCAATAAATAAATTTAACAACAGAAGGTTTCATCATTATCAACAACGACGAGGAAGTGTTCTGTGTGCGTCATCAAAGGGTCTATTCTAAGGTCACTTAATTCTGAAAAGAAAGAAAGGAAAATCGATTATATAAATTAATGACAATGAGAAAATTTAATTGTTTTCTAAACATATTCAGATTTAGATCTTTGAATAATAACAATTATGATAATATCCAATCACTTTGCAAAAATTCTTTTAAGTAGTACTTAATTTTGACATATTTGGACGAAAATTTCAAGGCAAGGGTGGTCTCCAGATTGGTAGATAGAGGGATCGCTCCAGACAATGGATTATTCATGAAAATGGAAATATTTTATTTAAATTAATATCTGCAGTTTTAATTATACGCATCATTAATGGAAAAGGGAAATCGTAATGGTAAAAGCCGCCCAACTGATATAGTGGTTAGCGTCGCTGACTGCTATGCCGAAGGGACCGGATTCAAATCCCGGAGAAGGCATGAATGTTTGTAAATGTATAGTGTCGGCGCGGCATGGCGGCATTCTAAATATGCGGCGAGCCGAAAAGTCCTCTCGTGTGGTTTGGTGGAAGGGGAGGGGACAGATTCTCGGACCCGTCCCCCTCGGGGTGCTCTCTATCAAAATTGGGGGCGGAACTGAGCTACCATTACCTGGAAGCGCTCAAGGCTGTTGCCAACGGTAGGCATAATCTAGCACTTCTTGCCACGAGGAATTTCGTGAGCTTGGTCTCACTACGTCAGACAAGTGAGCATCAAATAACAACAAAATTAATGGTTTGGTTTACTTAATTATGGCAAAGCACACTAGGGCTATCTGCCTAAGGGGAGGGATGCCTTCGTGGAGGACTTTCTAAGGGGAACTGACACGTTACACATGTGAAAAACCACGAAAACGCCCATACAGCCAGCCCGTTCGCGGTATTCGAACCTCGGACCGAACTACCAGTGTTCAGCGACGTTACCGCTCGGCCGCTGGTGAGCACAAAATTAATGGGAAGACCGTTTTAAATTCATCACCACTACGTGTAGTCGATTCGTTAATTATGAGAAAGTCTATTTGAGAAAGGCATTAAGGAATACCTTGGTGGTCAATAAAGAGAAATCAAGGCTGTTGCCAACGGTAGGCATAATCTAGCACTTCTTGCCACGAGGAATTTCGTGAGCTTGGTCTCACTACGTCAGACAAGTGAGCATCAAATAACAACAAAATTAATGGTTTGGTTTACTTAATTATAGCAAAGCACACTAGGGCTATCTGCCTAAGGGGAGGGATGCCTTCGTGGAGGACTTTCTAAGGGGAACTGACACGTTACACATGTGAAAAACCACGAAAACGCCCATACAGCCAGCCCGTTCGCGGTATTCGAACCTCGGACCGAACTACCAGTGTTCAGCGACGTTACCGCTCGGCCGCTGGTGAGCACAAAATTAATGGGAAGACCGTTTTAAATTCATCACCACTACGTGTAGTCGATTCGTTAATTATGAGAAAGTCTATTTGAGAAAGGCATTAAGGAATACCTTGGTGGTCAATAAAGAGAAACTGGCTCATATTCGCATTAAACATGAAGAAAATCATAGTAGAAAATGTAGTCCGTTGAGAAATAGCGGAGCGTCGCGACTTTTGATCGTCGGTTCCTGTGGGCCTCATCCTTACATTAAAATACATCTATTTGTAAAAATACCTTTGATGAGAAAATGCCCTTTTTAAACATTTGCCTGATTGTTGCTTTAAAATCAAGCGAATTACTTTCGATAGTATATTTTCTAAATAAGCTGCCTTATATTTAATTGCTTGTATTGCTTATCCATACAAAAAATCAGTAAAAGTATTAAAATTAACCAAAGTCAAATTTACAGAATATTTTTTATAATTCGGCAGATTTTTTTCAATTCTTTTTCATTATTATGACATTGAACTTAAGCACATCTTCAATACTTTTCTATATTAATTGGTTGCTTAAGTCTCTATGGTAGCCTTCTTCATTTTTTATTTTACTTGAAGGTTTTTATATTGATGTTACAAAAAAATTCTGTTCGGCTTGTAAGCCATCTTAAGCTAAATTTAATATCATTAACGTCATTCTCTATTCACATATCTAAATTATTTTATTATAAATATTCAAGGAAATTTTCAGAATGCTTAGATAAGAAATTTAATTGTTAAATATGTAAGGAAAGAGATGTGGTGGGAAAGAATCTTTAGTTATTATGATTTTACCATTTTTGGAGCCTGATTTCTTAGAAAACAAATATTTTTTTGCATTAATAGCTCAATCTTTGCATGGTGTTAATTTTGCTAGTTTCTTTGACATCACCTATCTAAATTATTTTATTAGAAATCATCAAACAGATTTTTTAAACTACTTAGCTAAGAAACTTAATCGTTAACTAATATGCAACAAAATAGATGTAGCCTTAAAAATTCTCTTTACATTTATGATTTTATCATTTTGCAGAAAAATAAATATTTTTTCGTCTTAATAGCTGAATATTCGCCTGGTGTGAATTTTGCTAGAAATTCACATGGTGAACAAAAAAAAAAAAAAAAAAAAAAAAAAAAAAAAAAAAGTTTTGCATCGACTTTGCACGTTGAATGCGTACTTACTATTAATCTAATATCGGCTGTATCCATGATGGACGGGGGCGGCTTGGTAGACGGGGGCGGCATGGTGGACCTGGTAGACAGCTGGGGCATGGTGGACCATCTGGGCGTGTCCCTGTCCATAACGTCCGTAAGCAGAGTTAGCGTGGGCGTGGACTCCGTGAGCAGCACCTCCGTACTTGCTGTGAGCTCCATGACGGTCGTGTCCGGCACGAGCGTAGGCTCCTACATTGTGGTGTGCGTTCCTGTCGTGGACTCCGTAGTGTCCGGATTTAGCACCATGGTCGGCAAGGATGGCGTGGTGGCCGGCCTTCTTGTCGTAAGCGTATGCCTTTTCGTATCCGGCACCCTAAAGAGTAAAAAGAAATATTTAATTTGATTTCTGTCTAAATAATGCTTCTTCTTGCTCATTACAGTATGAAAATAATGACCCACATTGCACTAATATTTCTTTGTATTATAATGAAATTTTAAGAGACAGAATGTGAATTTAAAGTTTAAGTGTGGTGTGAATTTTTGTAAATCCCATATCAATTATAGTTAATAGATCTGTCTTAGAACAGCTTTTGAAAGCAGCAATAAACACCCGCTTTCGCTTCCGTTTTGTGAGAACAGCTGAATTTAAGAACTGCTCGTAATTAATTATATGTTACTAATGCACATATTCAATGGAAATTATGTGCTTTCAAAAGAGATTAGAGATTCAAAAAATAAATGAGTAAAATACTAAGATTAATTATCGGTGTGATTTTTGTAATATAGTATATTTTAAAACTTCATACTGTGGCTACACGTACTTGTTCATATAATGGTGATTCTTCCATTAGAATTATTTTTTCATTATTGTGTTCGACTTGCTTTCATTCAACTAAAACGTTCTTCAATGTTAATTCAAATTACATATTTTCTGTCTAGCACACGAGAATTATTATTTGCATGAAAACTTCTCGTTTTATAGTTCAGAATATAAATTTGATGTGATTCTTAAACAGGCTAAGAGAAAATCTGATATTGTAAAGCACCAAAACATAAACAAAATAAAATATTAAAAAATATTAAAGACCCAAAATTTAATATTTGATATTAAGGAAAGTTCGTCTAAAATGACTGATTGACAAATGTCTGCACCCTATAGTAAATAGCTTATAATTAATCAATTAAGCAAATATTCAGTTTTAATTTTATTCAGGGCTTTTATAAGGAAATAAAATGTTTATTTATTTTGACGACATTTATAAAATCAATGTTAGAAAGGGTAATCGAAAAATTATTAAGCTTTCAGCAAAACAGTTAATTACTGTATCGATTCCTGATAAAATTTATATACATTTAAAAATCAGAATTAAAACCATATGCTCATTTTAAAATTATTTTTGGCTATTGCTATTGAACTGAATTTTATGATTTAAGTGCAAAGAACATGATATTTAATAAATAAAGGTAACAGACGAAACGTTAAAAAAAATTCCTTTGGATGTAATTTAAAATTCAAAACTTTTCAGATTATTATTATTATTATTATTATTATTATTATTATTATTATTTTAAATTCGCCATTTATAAAATCAGTGTTAGAAAGTGTAATCGAAGAATTATTAAGCTTTCAACGAAACAGTTAATTACCGTATCGATTCCTGATAAAATTTATTAACCTTTTAAAAAGCAGAATAAAAAAAAAGAGTATTAATTTTCCTCCTGCATTTTATTTATTAATTTATTTTACAAGTTTTGTAATTTGCCTTTATTTGGCACCGCTCGTGTTGCCACAGAAAGAGAAGTAATCTAAACGGAATTTAAACTTTATAAATTACGCTCAAATTAAATAGATTATCAATTAAGGTAAATGGATTATCAATAACTCTTGTTTGGTTTTTTAAACGAAACATCTCAAAAACCCCGAAATATACTTTTAGTATTCTTGATTATCGTATATATGGCCACGAAACAATTTAATTTTTGTAGCGCTTTATATATACCAGAGTAAAATTTTTATTTAAGATCAAATCTTTTCAATAAGTGGTCAATGATCTTTCCTTCTAACGGGACTCGAATGCAACACTACTTGCCTGCTGAAGATTTTTTAATTTGATTTATCTGATTATGGCGAAGCGCTCGAGGGCTATCTGCCTAAGAGGAGGGATGCCTTCATGGAGGACTTTCTAAGGAAAACTGGCTCGTATGCACGTTACACATGAGGAAAAAGTACGGGAGTACCCATGCAGCCAGCCCGTTGGTGGAATTCGAACCTCGGACCAAACTACCAATGTTCAGTGGCTTTACCGCTCAGCCGGGAGGTGGGACCACTTGCCGGCTGAAGCTAGCAGCGTATTTTTGATAAATTCTAGCTGAAAATTGTTAAAACTCGAGATATTTTAAAGTTTTATATTGTGCATGGCGGAATCATTTTTCCTGATGTATACAGAAATCACTGATAATAAGCTTACCTTGTCCTGAGCGTAGGCACCAACATTACGGTATTTGCCGTATTTGGAAGCATGGGCACCATAAGCATCATGAGCACCATATCCACCAACGTTGTGGTGTCCGTGGGCGGCATCTGTCGGCATAACGTCCGTGGTCTCCATAGTGGGACTGTCCATGAGCACCATATCCGTGGCTTCGGGCACCGTGAGCTCCATAGGCGTGTCCTTGGGAAGAGGCGGCGAGGGAGGGTCCGTGGTGGTAGGAGGCAACTGGGTAAGATTCAGCTGCCATCATTTCTTCGGCCACGGCAACGGCCACCAACAAAGCAACAATAGCGAGCTAGGAAAGAAATATCGTTATTTAGATAAAACAGAAGTAGGCTTAAATGTCTTTAAATATCTGTCAGTAATTTAATATTGACAATCTGACGCAAAGAACCTTCGCTATTGAAAGGATTAAAGATAAAAACTGGAAAAGTAATGAGGGCAGTGATTTGCAAAATGTGCTTCGTTGTGCCAACAGGTACGGGTAGGAATGGAAAAGGAAAAGGAAGAAGAAAAAGAGCTACTGAAAATTTTGAAGATTTGGCATTAAAGCTTAGCATCAGATTTTGTCTTGCCAATCTGCAGTAACTCTAAAGTACAAGGTTCTGAATTGGATGCTGAACCCATGGCAGTGAAATTATGCACTGAAGATTTAAAATGTCGTTCTTTTCAGAGCTTTCTTCAAAGCTACTGAAGATTTGATATTAAAAACTTAGCATCTATCTTGCCAAACTGCAGCAGCTGTAGAGTACAAGGTTCTGAAATGGATGTTGAACCCATGGCATTGAAATTATGCACTAACGATTTAAAATGTCGTTCTTTTTCAGAGCTTTCTTCAACGCTACTGAAAATTTTATTTGAAAATTTGGTATTAAAGCTTAGCATCAGATTCATTCTCGCCAATCTGCAGTAGCTGTACAAGGTTCTGATCTAGATGCTGAAGCCATGGCATTGAAATTATGCACTCAAGATTTAAAATGGCGAAGATATGAGATTTCTTTTTATTGCGATCGTATGGAGATTTGAAACTTGCAAGAGCAGTTTGCATAATACTTTGATTAACAGTATGCAAACAAATTATTCTTTAGTAAAAAGAAATAATTATATGAACATATACAGTCTTTTTACATACTGATACTTGAGAACTTACGGGGATAGTTTCATGAAGAACTGTTTGTGTCTTTGGAGGATGCGCGCGCATTACGGGGAGAAAATTTTAACAAAACGAATATAAGTTACAGCTAAGATGTCAATAACAAATAAACAAAATAAATTAAATTAAATAAATAAAGCACAAAGTTGAAATTAAACAGCATTTACATTTTGTAGCTTTTAATGTTTTCATCAATAATTAGTAAATTTTATTTTGAAGAGAGAATGTCACGTTTTTTTTTTTTTCGAAATTTTTAAGAGTTAAATTTATTTAACTACACTTTTGTATTGTAACATTATTTATAAATTTTTAAATTTGCAGATGTTCAGTGTACAGAAGGAAATAATTATAGTTAAACAATTTTTTAAACAAAATATTTCACGATTTAAAAAAAAAAATAAAATGTTCACGATTTTTAAATAAAATATTCCCCCATCTAATATCCTTTTATGCAAATGTTCGATGCACAGAATAGCAAGAAGGAAATAATTATAATTAAATTACTTTTAAAAGAAAATATTTCAAATGCTTTCTCTATCTAATCTCTTCTTAGTTAAAAATACATTTTAAATAATTTAAGATTTCACTTTAATTAAGAAAGTTAAATTAATTAAGACTAATTAATATTTTCAGCTATACATTATAAGGATAATTATCATTCAAATAACTGTCTATTGCATTTAATATAATTTAAGCTTTATATGCTTAACGTTGATACCAGTTCTATCACGGCAAACTGAATTTGCGATTTTATTTACCTCTCCGAGCAACTGTAGAATCATTAGGTTATTTCGAAGAAGGAGAGATGAAAAATGAGCAACGCCTTCGCCGGGAATCGAACCATTGACCTCTGGTATACGCGCCCAGCGTGCAGACCACTACACCGCGAAGGCACGCTAAGCAGGCGGAAGAAATTCTAATAAATTCCTTCATGTGCCAGTTTTAAATTTGTGTAAAATATTGAAAATGCAAGCTTACGAATAATGAGAAATTTAAAGAACACTACTATGCTGTAGGTTTCTGAATGAGTATTAAAATATACTTCATAAATTATGAATAAGAAATAGAAAAAAAATGCTATTTGGTAAGTTTGGAAATATTAAATTTTAGAAATATATCACTGTAAAAAAGTTGGTATTAAGCCAATAAAGTTATTCCAGACATCATAGACCAGCAGAGAATGTATGATTTCAGCGAACGATATCAGAAGTTTCTGAAGTGGAAATGGAACTACTTACCACCTTCATGGTTGTTGATTGATTTTTCCTTCTGCTGAGGATCGAATGCTGACTGCAGGACTGGTGGGCCTTTTTATATTCGATTTCCCTCTCCATTGACCCGACCGTGGTGCTCTCAAATTTGTATTTTGTTAGCCGAAAGGGTGGAACCAAAGGTGGAGTCAATTCTGTTCCCGATTCGATCTCGATCGGGGCCGAAGCCTGACCCTGATCTCGGACACAGTCTACGACCCTCAGGCAAGGCCCATAGATTTCACTTTCTATGGATTTCGATTTCACGATTTTTTTTTATGTCGTTCATTAAGTATGCACTCATTATTGACGGTTATCTTACCTGAGAAATAACGGATTACGACCTTCAATGGGAATTTTAACGTCTGAAAACTGACAAACGTCTCTATCCACATTGGTATAAACTAAAATCAATTAAGTAGCTAGCTAACTTATAGGTTTGTTTAAGCAGTTAGCTGCATAGACATGTTTAATTGCATATGTACATACAGAGTGTGCTCACACATTTTTGTAACGATTTTGCAAAGATTTATATATAAACAAACCTTAGATTTTTATTAGTCCAAAGGGGCAATTTGACCTGAAGAATTATTAATTTCGTTTTGGCATTTTGCGTCGAAGCGTTTAAAAGGCTGTATCACTTTTCAAATCGTTGCCACCCTATATTATCGCCCCGTCTTATATTTAAAGAAATTAAATAATGAAGAATGTGCATAAACGTATGTATGTTTCTCGCATTGCGATAAAACATCGGTACCTAAAGGCCATCAAAATTTGAATAACGTAATCTTCCATAGAATATGGGCATGTGGAAGGCCGAATTTTGAATTTGAAATTTGTTTTATTATCGATTTCATATTTTGTAACATTTCAACGAATTTTTGATTAAAAACCTAAACGATTTCAAAGCGAGCCATGGCAACACTGTACGGAAAAAAAAAGAACATTTTTATCTCTAGCGCGCGAGACTGTATCTTAAATTCTAAAAATATGCTCATTTAAAAATTAATTTGCGATATTGCTGTAGAACTGAATTTTATAGTTTGAGTACGTAGAACATGATATTTAATAAATAAAGGTAACACTCAAAACGTTAAAAAAAAGCCTATCTTTGGACGTAATTTAAAATCTGAAACCTTTCAGATTCTTTTCTTTTCTTTTTCTTTTTCTTTTCTTTTTTTTTTTTTTTTTCTAGTACGCTGAATCTGATAGTCTTTTTGTTGAACTACCCTTTTCTTAAAACATCAAAGCTGATTTTATTCTACTCCTCCTACACAATCTTCCAGAGTCCATCCGATATTTTGGGATGCCGCTTATAAAGAGTTTGTTTTAAAAGTCCACATGCACAGTAATCCATAAGAGACACATCCGAGGACGAATGGGATGCATTTAGAGGGAACAGTTTCAATTCTGATTTCATTTCTTATTTTATCGAAAAATAGAGCAGAATTATATAGAGAAATATAAATTTTATCGAAATTTAGAGGTATGGCTCGGAGCCTTATCCGGATGGAACTTAACACAATGAAGATTGGTTTGGATAAAGAGATGGAATTTCTTCTTTGACAATCGATGTTAAAATATATTTCTGTTAGTAATTCAAATTACTTTTGACATTTTTTCTACTTTCCTTATTTTAAGTTTCCCGTTATAAGATAATCGAATAATAACCATAAAAACCTTTTGAAAAACCTTCATTGATTTCTGTGAACCAACATATTAACTCCTTTTTTTTCATCTCTTTTTCAGTGGTAGTAAATCGATCTTTTTCTATCGCAATCGGATAAGTATATTCAAGCCTCATCAGTCGTAATTATGTATTTCCATTTTTCATTTGCCAAATAATTTTCATACAACAATCTGCACATAGACTTAAGCCGAAAAATATGTTTCGGCGTTGGGCGATGAACATCATTTCTTTTTGTTTTGTTTTAAATAGCTTTAAATTAGATTTAATAATTTTATTCGCAGTTCCTACAGAGATATTTAAAATTTTTACAATAGCTCTTTGGGGGGCTTGATTTTCCTTTAAACCATGAGATGAGACTTTAGATTTAATAAGAGCCGTGCGTACCTTTGGTGCATATGGATGTTTTGCCTTTTCCCAGTCAGATGTAAACTTTGACGTTTTTTTCCTTTCATATTAATTATGCCACTTATTTTGAGTGTAGAACTATTAAAACCATGTTTTTCGCATCTTTTTTTTTAATAATTAAATAAGAGTTTTTCTGTTCGGACAGCGCAAAAATATAGCCTCCGATCCACTGTTTATTTTTCAGCGACATTTTAAAGAAAAGAATATTTTTAATGCTGCAGACGACAAATAAACCTTATTCCAATTGGATGCCAGTCACGTTTAGATCTTAAAATTAATATTTAAATTCACGGAGAAAATTAAGATCATTACAAAAATGTGTGAACACCTTCTGTAAGTGGAGTTTGACCTCTGTCAATCAAAAGTTTATTTAGAAAGATCTTTTGGAACGGTTGTCTTGAAAAACACAGAGTACTCAAAAATTCATTCGCTTCGTGTCGAAGATGGAATCTTTAGTTTAGCAAATCAATGCGCTAACTGTTGCACTGCAGATAAACGTCAAAGAAGCACCTTGCTAGTTTAGGTACAAAGACGCTTCTTCTTATCGAAAATCTGTTCATAACTTTCTTCAGAACTTTAAAATACAGTTATTGGCTAGAAACTTCTTCCATGAGCCTGTCCACTTATATATACATTCTACATAAGAGTCGTTATGAGCAAATTAAAAAGCCTATAACCTGCGCTAAAGTTGCAAAGTAATAAACCAATAATTTATAATTAGAAAACTTTTTACTGTAGAGACATTAGGTTATTTCGAAGCAGGTGACGTGAGAAATGAACAATGCCCTCGCCGGGACTCTAACCACGTACCTCTCGAATGCGCGCCGAGTGTATTGACCACTACACCACGAAGGCATGCTAAGAAGGCGGGAGAAATACCTTATACACTCCTCCCTTTTAAAGGGCGACTGGGCATTAGTGGACCTAATCGCCAAATCCTGGTAATGGAGAATTATCATCCGCCACTTTTTTTTTTTTTTTTTTTTTTTTAAGTTTGGCGCCACTGTAGAGACATTAGGTATTTTTTGAAAGCAGGAGGGTTGAAAAATGAGCAATGCCCTCGCCAGTACTCGAACCTCGGGTCTCTCGAATACGCGCCAAGCGTGCTCACCATTACACCATGAAGCTGCTAAAAAGGCGGGAGAAAAACCTTATATTATATATTTATTACCTTCTATTATATTATATTATATATTATAACCTTATATTATATATGATTAGGACTTTTGGCAAAGCTATCAAGCATAAATTTGTTGTTGAGTACACCTAATTTTATTTATATGAATTTCGTGCTTAGAAATTCCTCTTCTTTTCGTCGAGTTAGTTGAGGTTAAGATTTTCGTGCGCATAAAAACGTTTTAGTGATTTAAAGTATTCTTAAGAGCTACTATATAACTTTGTCAATCGTTTCTACTGGATTATTCCCTTTGAGTTGTTCAATACATAGATATCAATCATACATAGATATAATAACTGGAATGTGTTCAAGACTGTAAATGAATTTTGTTGAATATTGAATATTAAGAACTAGCTTCAGGAATGTATGAATATAAGAAATTGCCAGCACTAAGTTCAAAATTTTGGTAATTGATAATTTAATTAACAAAATTTGAGTGTAAAATCCGAAGTGGATTGCCTGTTTTATTTTGGTTACGTATTTTTTCTTATATTTTATTGCAGTTATTGCATAGAGTCATCGAACAATGGGTACATCGAAATCACTGACATGCATTAAATCGGAGTAGGCATTTATGTTTTAGGGTTTTATTTTTGTTTCAGGGTAAAGTGCAGAATCGCCCACTTATTTGTTTGGCGCTTTTTACAAGAGTAAGAAGAATTGGATTTCGGTCAATTTTCTTTGACTTTGTAAGTGAAAATTGGTCGATGTGCACATGGATAAAATCAAGGGAGTGCGCAATGCCATTTTTGTACAATTCTGCGATTTTTTTTTTTTTTTAAGTGATTATAGGTCGATGTGTACATGGATACCGAGTATGTGCAATTCTTAAAAACGTGCCAAACAGTGGGTGCTTTTGCACTTTCCCCATTTTATTCAAAACATAATATTGCTATAAATTTTATTTCAAAATCATATAAAAAGTGTGATGGTATCAAAAATAGTTTTTATTCTTTTAGTTCAAAGGGCGTTAGCCCAGAGGGGCTACTAATTTCGTTTTGGCATTTTGCGTTGAAAACTTGAAAATGTCTGCTTCACTTTTCAAATTGTTGCCACCAAATATTATCGCTCTGTGTTATATTTAAAGAAATTAAATAATGGATTATCAGCATAAATGTATGTACGTTTCTTGCATTGTGCTGAAATGACCGTACCTAGAGCCATCCAATTTTGAATAACGTACGTCTCCACCCGTATATGGGCATATGGAAGTCTGAATTTGGAATTTGTTATATTATTGACTTCATATTTCCTAACACTTTAACGAAATTCGATTATTTCAAAGCCAGCAATAGCAACACTGTACGGTAAAAAAATCTCCAGCGCGCGAGACTGTGTATTGGAAATTCTAAAGGTATGCTCACTTTAAAATTATTTAGAGATATTGCTGTTGAATTGAATTTTATGGCTTAAGTGCTAAGAACATGATATTAATTAAATAAAGGCAACACACGAAACGTTGAAAAAAGACCCTTTGGGCGTGAAGTAAAATCTGAAAGCTCTCAGTTTTTTTTTTAACTTCTTTTGTTTTTAAACACATGTTTCATTTTATTTACACTTAGCTCGAAGCATTAGAAACAATCTATAACTATTAAAATATGTGTGCATCCGTCTATCTGTTTTATTTTAAAATCATTCTTATTTGGGAAATCCTTTTTATTAATATACTGCATTTATTTAAAAAGAAGGAAAGAATATTTGAATCCAAACCTAGGCCCCGGTTAAAGTACGTGAGGGGGTGATAACCGCTTAAACTCATTATAATTATAAAACGAAACACTACAGACACTTAGGCCTTAGCTAGGACAGCGAAATAATGCGCCAAATATTCCTTTCGGCCAAACAGCGGCCG